CTTTCTCCTGAAATGGGATCCACTTTCTTTTCATTGGGGTAGAATTCAGAGATATAGCCATGGTAGTGTGAACTGTCAATATGCAAAGGGATCTTGTAGCACCCTTGACTTAGCGAAAGAAGGAGCATTAGAAGTTGTACCACTTCTAAGTGCTGTAGCTCCATCCTATGGAATCCTGGGATTTGTAGTTTTACAAGGTCTTTGGCCTTCTCTGTCTAAGAGGGATAATGCCCCACTAAACTACAAATCCCAGGATTCTGTAGGATGGGGCCATGGCAGTTAAAGAGTTGTCAAACTGCATTATTTCTACAGTATAGATGCACCCAAAGTCGCCAAAAGGTAATGCTATGTACACCTTCTTTCACTCAGTCTTGAAGGTGCTATAAGATCCTTTTGAATACTAAATCTGGTTGTTACTCCAATCTAGAGTAGAACCACTCTATCAGTGGAATGTACATAAGAAGTTCCTATTATTTTAATAAGGCTTCTCTAATTAGCAGTAACAACTGGATTTAGGTCAGGCCATGGAAAAGGTAGGGGGGGGGTTAGCCTGTAAAGATGGTCAATGCTGGTTAGGGGATTATGGGAGTTAGAGTAAAAAAACAAACACTTTTCCAAGCTCTGGCTAAATTATACAGCTGTTTCAGCCATTCCTTATGGGAAGTGGTCTCAAGATCCTTCTCTATCCTAGTCAGCAACTCTGGATCTCTTCCAGTTTGTAAACATCTTAAATTGTAATTTTTAACATGTGGCATTCAACAGCATTTTATGTTTCAACCTGGGCTCTTACATTAGTACCTACCATCCCCTGTTCTTTATGGTTCACCACTTACCGACCTAGGAAGCTGGCCTATAGAGAGTCAGATTGCTGGGCCATCTATTGTTGATAATTGTATGCAAGAATTAATTACAACTCATTATTTGTAATAAGTTACAGTACTTAAAAGCTCTGATTAGCACTGTTGGGCACGAAGTATCTAGAGCAGTGGTTCCCAAATTGTGGTCCTCCAGATTTTTTTAAACTTCATCTCCCAGAATTCCTGAGTGTTGGCCAAGCTGGCTGGGGCTTCTGGGAATTGAAGTCCAAAAAAACCCAGAGGACTAAAGTTTGGGAATCACTGATCTAGAGTTTGCAACAGGACTTTTTTCCTTTGACATGTCTGGATTTTAACCTGCAACCTTTTGTGGCCGCAGCCTGTGCTTCATCACTAAAGTACAGCCTTCAATTTAACATTCAGTAAGGTTCCCGTCCTCACTGATCTCAACAAAGTGCTCCTTTAGGTAAGAATACAGGGAATTGCCTTGTACCAAGTCAGATCATTAGTCCGTCTGGCTCAGTATTGTGGACACTGTTTGGGAGTAGATGTCTGGGATTTCAGTCCCGGGCGTTTCCTGTTGGGAGACGTTGGGCCTTGAACCCGGGACCATTCTGTATGCAAAGCTTGTGCTACTCTGGCCGTGAGCCATAGGTCCTTCCCTGAGGTCATCTTGGAAGCAAAGCTGTGTCACACAAGCAAGTGTATTCTGCAAGACCTGGAACGTGCCTGCCTTTGTGTTGCCACACGTATTGACTTTATTGCAATATGCAGTGAGCGGCTGGGTATTATTGTGGCTGGTATTATTGTGGCTGGGTATTATTGTACCCTGCCCTTAATGTGCTGGGATTATATAAACAGCTTGCGTTCCTTGATGAAATTAATTAAGGGCTCCAGCCTGCAAGAAAGCTTGGCTAAGCAAGTCTCACAATGAAATAAATGCCACCTGGGCATCACACACACCTCTTCTTGGGCATTTCGGTGGGTCATCCCCAACTTTCCAGATATTGTAGCTCCTCCATCCCTAGTTTGTACCTTGAAGAAAACTCCAGGAGGAGTTAACAAATGACCAAGGAAGTCATGTTGATTTTCAGAAGAGTTGGAGTTGGTGGCTCAAACGTCAGGGCAGCGGTGAATCCACTCTGGGCTTTCGTCTGAACTTAAAAGCCTTGTCCAGGATGCTGAACCCATTTAGGGGGCGATTGAGTTTAGCATGTAGAATGGGGGCCAACCTAGTCTTGTATTTTGAGTGTAAGACTAGGACCCAGGGAGACCAGAGTTAAAATCACATGAATGATTCTTCCTATACCAACATTTGCTTTAAAATAGAAGGGTGGCAGGACAGATGTGATACAACATCTTAACATATTTTTTTCCTTTGGTTGGTACATCAATGGTTGTTTATTCATTTTTGTGCTATTCACCTGTTACTGATGGTGAAATAGACTGTCCTAGGATTTGGAGGCTTCTCCTCCACTGGAGACATCTAAGCAGTGGTGGTCAACCATCTACCAGGTATGTTGTAATTAATAATTTTTAAAAAATTATATCAACCTCTCTGTGTAACACAACCAGGACGGCTTACACGCTAAAACATACAATCCTGTCTCCCAACATCCCACCTGCACTGTGGAATCTGCCCTAAGTGAGGGGCTGGACTATTAAATTTATTGCACAGCGTTTGCAGGAACGGGAACGGAACGGAATGGAACAGAACGGGGTGAGAATGCAAGTTACCGCATAGGAGAATGCTGCCGATGCTGCTGGGAGTCCCCAAGCCATTCCCCAGCCATTCCTGGCAGCTGATTTTGAAGAACGGTTCAAAATCGTTCTTCAAAATTGGCTGCTATAGCATGAATTGGGAACGGCTTGGGGACACCCAGCGGCATCTGTGGCATTCTCCTGTGTGGTAACTTGCATTCTCTCCCTGTTCCGTTCCGTTCAGTTCCCATTCCTGCAAGTGCCATGCGATAAACTATTATGACTTATCTCCAAGTTCCCATCCAGTTCTGAAGCATCACCCATAAGTGGAGGAAAGGAGATAAACAGATGACGGGGCGTGGAGAGAATAATGGGTGTGAAGAGCAGCGGCTATATTTCTCAGTGTATGTATGGTTAAAGGGCTACATAGTCTGTTCATGGCAAGTGACACCAACCATAGTCTTCATGCTCCTCCCGTCTCCATTGATATCTTATTATGAATGGGAATTAGAACTGGAGAAAGTTACTTTTGGGGATTATAATTCCCAAAGTACTGAAGCTAAGGGATTCTGGGAATTGTAGATCTTCAAGGAAGGCTCTTCTTTCAGTCCCATTATTTTCCCAGGCACATCTGGGGAGAACAAAGGAGAAGACCTTCTCAATGGTTGCCTTCCATTGCCTTTCTCTCCTTTTGTTGGTAGGCAAAGACTTTTTTTTTATCTCAACAGGCTTTGGGGAATTGACTGTTTTTCAGGAAAACGTCAGATAGGGTGTTGTGATGCTTTGAAACTGTTCTTTATTATATATTGTAGATTTTCAAGGAAGGCTCTTCTTTCAGTCCCATTACTCTCCCAGGCCCATCTGGGAGAGGGCCATC